GACTATTCTCTTCTGACTTATATTGCATTATGACCTATCTATTATTGGTTTGTTGCATGTGCTTTTAAGTAATTTCTTAGCAAATTAAGTAATTTTAGTCCTTCTTGTTGCCTTAGAATTGAATTATTGATAAGGTTAGCTAGATGACCTGTTGACGTGCTAATACCTGATTTGTTCCACTTATTTACTCGTCTTCATGTGGTGAATTGTCATATGCTGTTTGTCCAGTTATAGAGAGGAACTCTGGCATTTCATAGTCGGGAGTTTATTTGTAAGACACTTGTCAAATTGATTGACACTTTCTATTGTTTATAATTTATTTATTTATTTATTTATTTATAATTTATAATTGCTTGTTCAGATGCAGAGCACCTGCAGTTAATTTTGTTCACCTGCTTCAACTTGGCATGCTACAACTGCTTGCGCACATAACCTTTTCCTGGACAGCTGGAAGGTGGACCTTTGTCCACATGATATCATATGCTTTTTCATATAGATTTGAAATTGTATTCATGCCTAACTATGCTAAAGACCCTGAAATGTCTCCTAGACTTTGTGCAGCATCGATTTATGGCTGTGCAGTGTACCGGAGGTGCCACTAAAGAATGGCAAGAAATAGTTGTATAATATTGCTTAGGGACCGGGTTACACAACGTCAGTGTCGGGTTATGAAAGTGTCAACAGAGCACTTGTATCCATTCTGACCTGTGTGACACACTGGCCCCATTCCTGGCCCCGGCGCAGCATACTTTCATATGCTCACTTTCTATACTCTGTTCCGAAGTGAAAAGACTGGACACTAATGGACATAAATGAATTAATGACCAAAGCTGAGATCTATAAAAGTAATAAGCTATTAAGATTGCATGTCAGTAGGCGGCTGAAAAGAAAGATGGGATTTATTTGTTTGAAAACAGAAGTGATTTGTGATCATTTACTCAGTAAGCACACATCTCACACTAGACAGAAGCAAACAGGAAAACCACAAACATTCCCACATGTTAATTGCTTCTGGGACACACCCTTTGAAAGACCATGTAGTTTAACTCCTGAGATTCTGTAGAAATTCTGTAGAAACATCGGTAGATTTGGTCAATGCTGCTGTGCATAATCCAGTGTTTTGAGTTTTGGTGCATCCCTTCTTAGAAAAGCGTGATAGGTTCTGGTAATAATGAGGAAGTGGTACGTGCTGTACCTATGAACGCAAATGTTGTGTAACAGCTATTGGTTCAGTTACATAAGTGTCCCTGCTTCTCAAACCTAGCCCCATGTCTCTGTGTGTGTGTGTGTGTGTGTGTGTGTGTGTGTGTGTGTGTGTGTGTGTGTGAGCGCACATGTGCTTGCCAGCAGGGTTTCGGAACAAGCTCAAAAGTAGTCCATCTTATTATGGGACACTTATTTTGGAAAAAGGGAAAAAACATAATCGCTTTTTCTCTTTTGTATTGTCATACATTTCCTCGCCATAATTACTATTGCAATGATCATATTTTACCATCTAACCCTGAGGAGATACACCTTCCTGTTAGAACCTGAAAGTCAGAGTTATAATATGTCACCATATTTTCTAAGTAATTTAAGTGGCTGTGATCAACAGTCTTAGGTTTATAGTTTCAGGTTTTAGCTTTATTTACTTCAGTTCACTTCAGTTTTGATTTTAATGGCGCTTATGGGACGTTTCTAGAAAGTGTTTCAAGGGAGTCAGTTGATAATGTCAACTGATAATCTAGCTTATGCTAATAAATGTATTTGATAAGATGACCTTAAGTATTTTTGTAGACAACTTGTGATTTTATAGCTTACAAAAACATAAAGGGATCTCACTGTCGAAAGGTACATGAGAGGGGTACAAAAGAATTTCCAAAACATTAGATGTAGCATGGAACACTGTGAAGGCCAGTATCAACAAGTGCAGAAAATGGGGCACCACAGTGACATTACTAAGGACAGGACGCCCCTCCAAAATTGACAAAAAGATAAGAAGAAAACTTATCAGGGAGGCTGCAAAGTGACCTACAGCAACATCAGAACAGCTGCACGAATAGCTGGTAAGTACTGGTCACTCCCTGCATGTGACAACATTCTCTCATATTCTTCACACGTCTGTGTTATGGGGAAGGGTGGCTAGACAGAAGCCCTTTCTCATGGAAAAAAACAGCCAAGCCTGCCTAAATCACTCCAGACCATGTGGCAAAATGTGTTATTTTATGTGTTATAAAAATGTTTGGCACAAAAACAGCACGGCTTATCAACCAAAGAACACTACACCATCAGTGAAGCATGGTGGTGGCAGCATCATGCTATGGGGCTGCTTCTCTTCAGCTAGGACTGGGGCAAGATAGAGGGAATCATAGATACCTCCAAATACCAATCTATTTTGGAACAAACCTGCAGGCCTCTGTCAGACAGCTGAAGATGAAGAAAAATGTCACCTTTATGCAAGATAACGACCCAAAACACAAATCCAATTCAACAGAGGAATGGCTACAGAAGAAGAAGATCAACATATAACCTCAGGTAGATCAAGAACACAAATTTTAGTTTTAAATATTTTTAGTATGGGACATTAAAAATTTCATAAGTGGATGAACAGAGCAGCGATTATCCTGTGTTGCATAACGCGTCCGAGTGTAACTTATGTAACACGCCAACTGCCTCTGGCTTCCAGCGTCTCAGACATTAAGGGTTGAACTCTGTGTGTAGGATGACCAGAAAGAAAATGCATGCAAAACAATAAGACGGTAATTTTAACTAGTCTACTTATTGTAATCTAAAATAACTAATGCACCAAAAATGGATACCTACAGAGCATGAATTTTCCTTCACCTTGACAAACCTTACATGAAATCTCTTGACCTTATATGATGAATGCTTGGTAAATGCCTGTATCCTTTCTTTTATAAAAATAAAAAAAAAAAAAAAAAACCGTAACCTGTGGCAAATGCAACCTTGATCCAATCCAATGATAGCCCAATGAATAAGATCGATGAGATTCTGAGTATTCACAGTAACTGCGCTTCATGTCAATAGACACTGCCAAGGAACCGACACAATATATCACTACATAAAAACCAAACTTGGCTCTATAATGGATAAAGTTTGAGAAAGCGCCTATATAAACCCAACAGCTTATATACAAACATACTTTAGATGCAAGAAGTAATAAACACATGGAATACTGACATTGTGAGTGGGTGTGTGTATGCATCCATGTGAATGTATACGTTCATCGGTTTGGTGGTGCTTTCTTTCTGGGAAAAAATAGAGAGTTAAAAGGTGAGTCAGAATTAAGGAAAAAGGATTTTAATTATGCCTGCACGTGCTTAGTGCCCTTTTGCGTTTAAAAGTAACTGCTTTACACTGATCAGGGCTGCAGCGGATCCTGAGCCAATCCTGGGAACACTGGGTGCAAGGCAGGAATACACCCTTGATGGGACGCCAATTTAATAGGTCTAAGAATATTATCAATCTGAAACCTCGTTAGAGGGAAATTAGTACAGTGAGTTGGTACAGCAACATGAGAGACAGGTCAGAGGGGAAATTAGACAGATGAAGATTGGAAAAACGTCGTCTGGTCTTTTTCTGTTAAGTTTCACTGACCCTGTCTGCGCTGTGTCCTCAGATTCTTAGATTCTGTCCTCAGAATATATACAGTACTGTGCAAAAGTCTTAGGCACATGCAAAGAAATGCTGTAGAGCAAAGACGCCTTCAGAAATAATGAAATTAAATGCTTCTACATTTAAAAAAAATACTATAAAGAGCAGTAAACAGTAATAAATGAAACAAAGTCAACATTTGGTGTGACGATCCTTCACTTAAAAAAACAGTAGTCTCAGGTACAGTGTGTGCAGGTTTATAAGGAAATGGGCTGTAAGTGTTACTGAGCATCTTGCAGAAGCAGACACAGTTCTAATGGAGACTTTGACTGTCGCACTCGCTTCTTATTTTTGCAGCAAAACCCAGCAGCCTTCATTATGTTTTTTGTCTGAAAAGTGTCTCTTATGTAATCTGCTGCTTTCTTTACTGACACGCAAACATTTTTCTGTAACATTTAAATTTGTGCTGGAAAACTAATGTTTGGAATCTGAAAAGTTTTTGTACTGAATCAATAATGTAGAAGTCATAAAATCTATAATAAAGTTTGTACTAAAAAAAAATAAGGTGCCTAAGACTTTTGCACAGTACTGTGTATATATATATATATATATTCTTACTTTGTGTCTTTACTTTTAGTATACTTAGAATCTATCTATCTTTCAGGTTGAACCTGTTTAACATGCTAGATAATACAGTAGGAATATTGTATTTAATCAAAGGAACCTCAATAATAATATTGCATCTTACACACACTTACATGCCTAATATTCTCACACAGTCACATGGTCTTCCATGTCCCCAGCAGGCTGTGACAGTAAAAGTGCTGTAGGCTGCCGTTACATAAACAGTGCACCATGGTTACATAACCCTCTGGCTTCTGAATGTACACTCACCTCTCTCTCTCTCTCTCTCTCTCTCTCTCTCTCCGAATTGACTTTTTTTTTTTATTAAGGAGATGTAAGGGGTACAGTATGTTATTAAAAGTGGTCCATATGAATAATCAAAGCTTAACATTTTTGCTTAAACGTACAGAATCCAATCAGTGTTAGTCAGTAATTCTGCACAATTCTGTGTGTGTGTGTGTGTGTGTGTGTGTGTGTGTGTGTGTGTGTGTGTGTGTGTGTGGGGCGCTAGAGGCAATGTGAGACTTTCTTGTAGTCCAGGGCTGTATGTTCTTTGAGCAGTAAGCACTGGTCCTAGAAAAGTTGCAAATGTTGTCTCAAAGTAAAATATCAACATGTCCATTATAATTACAAGTAGCATGTTGATCATGGGTACAGTGCATCATTATAGCCGTAGAAACCCATGACAAATTTAAAGATTATAATTTTAATGTTTATTTGATAAAATCCACATCTGATCGATTGATCAGAGTCAGGCAAACCCTGACTCTTATCCGGGTCAATTCCCTGGCTGGGAATCGAACCCAGGCCACAGTGGGGAGAGCACTGTGATCTAGCCACTAGTCCTCCAGGGACCGTATGCCTATGTTAATTAAACAGCTAATACAGAGAGCTACCAAAACTAAACCTTCGATTCATTATCTATCTTGCTAGCAATGGTTTAGCATGACTATCATGAATAGTGCTTAGTGTTAGCTTGAGCATGAAGTTGTGACCAAAGCAACCACAACCATTTATGCTGCGTCGAGCATGAAAATATTGATTTAATTCAATCCCGTGATATGACCTGGACTTAAAAGCAGATTAATAGATTTGTAATGAGCTGATATCCTGTACCGGATTTAGTGTCGGATAAAGCCTGAGCAACAGTGACTCGTACTGAGTCCATCTAACTCCTTGATACAGAGACACAATCACTTATTCACCATTCTGTGTATTTAGCAGCCTGTTATACTGTATGTGTTGGCCTGCTTGTTGTGTGTGTAGCCTTTTCTTGAGTTCAAATGTTGTTTATCAGCCTTTATATAACATCTCTCTATGCCATTGTCTCGGTCACCATGGCATCACACAGTCGTCACCTCCTCGTTCATCTCCCTTGGATTACCATTGGGCGGTTTCCATGCTTTTGTTTGAGTAGTGTTGCTACGTCGGTGTGCCTTTGCCACAAAACCACAGGGCTTGAAAATGGAACGATAGAAGGTTTCAGTTTCAAGCAGAGCAGGAACGAGTAACTATTCGCTTATTATCACTGTGCAACTATGTATGCACTCACTTTGTTGGGAAGCGTGTATGTTTTTGTGCGTTCATCTTTGGTCATCAGTCCTTTATTTTATTTATTTTTTTTCAAGTTTTGAAGGGAACACATCATATTTCAGCAACACACACACACTCATTGATATGTGTGTTTCTGAACGAGTCATCGTGAAAGCAACAGTTCCGGAAAAAGCGTGTGTCCTTCAAGCTTTTGTAGAAACTTTTACTATTAACTACAAGGAGACATTTTTAAGGTTATCCAACAGTAATTTCACGTGACGACAAAAATTTACTCCTCAATGACATTAATAAATAAAATGAGTTAATAAATGAATGCACGTTCCTTTTGTAATTAATCGTTCCGTGGCTGTTATAGTGAAGTAATGTTAGATATTGACAGAAGTTACATATTATTTTGAATGCATTAATTAATACTCTATTAAATGGATATTTTGCATGAAGTATGGTCTACCTGAACCAAAACAAATTACGTTCTTTAATGAATGTTGACCATTTTGGATGATTTCTGTAGCATAGTGCTTGTATTCTAAAGTGGTGTATGAAAGAGCAGGATAGCATACCACATCCATAAGTAAGGAAGAAGATAGATGGACAGATAGCGAAAGCAATTCTGAGTGGCAGAGACCTGAGTGATCGGCAGATAAGACAGAAGAACAAGAGATAGCGAGATATATAGTTGCATAGTTGTCATGTCTTCATACATTCTAAAAAAAACTCCGATTCCTTCAGACTAGATTAGACTACGAGGGGAAGAACCGAACAAATCTAAGAATAAGGGAGAGGGTCAGCTTCACCTGTCTTACCCCACGTCACGCCTAAAATGGAATAAGATGGGTAAAAACGATTTCTCTTTCTCAAGCTTTATTTAGCTCTCCTCCTCTCCCTCACATTGTAATCTAGAAATATCTTTTAGTCTGAAGTCTGAACTTTTCAGCTGTACCCATCTTTGCGGTATACACTCTCTCTGTCTCTGTTTGTCTCTCTTTTTCACACACACACACCCTGACAACTTGGAAGTCGTGTCAGGGACAGTAGGGCAGACATTGGCAGATTGCTTTCAGAGGGGCGGTTTATGTAACTTGTTTTCAGACTTGTAGAATATCAGCCCCCGTGCATTATATAAATAATTCATCTTCCCACACCTGCTGTTTGTATACATGCATGTATGCGTGGTGCATGAACCTAAAGTTCGGTTAATACAGTTTTTAATATGTTTAGAACATGTTAGGGAGTGAAAAAGAAGAGGGAACACAAAGGGAACTGGAGATAAGCAAACAGAAACCAGGGATTGAAGTGAAAGGCAGGAGACAGGCACGGGTCAAACGTTTCATTTTATGCTGGTCCGCTGTTTCTCTCTCTGCGTACGCAGTTTGACCTCTGTCTAAATCTGGTCGTGCCTGAGTGTGTGTGGTGGTCATTTTCATAAGTGCTGATTATGTATGAGAGGTTGCATAACATGCTGAAAATGATTACTAAACCAACAGGGAGTCTGCATGTATCCTCAAGTACAATACTTAGTAAAACGTTTTTTTTTTTTTTTTCATTCATCATTCATTCATTCTCCTCATTTTCAGGGTTGCGGTGCATCTACAGTTCTGTGCAAAAGTCTTAGGCACCCTATTTTTTTTTTTAAGTACATACTTTGTTATAGATTTTTATTTGATGACTTCTACATTATTGATTCAGTACAAAACATTTTAGATTCCAAACATTAGTTTTCCAGAACAATATTAAATGTTACAGAAAAATGTCTGCATGTCAGTAAAGAAAGCAGCAGATTACATAAGAGACACTTTTCAGACAAAAAACATAATGAAGGCTGCTGGGTTTTGCTGCAAAAATAAGAAGCGCGTGCGACAGTCAAAGTCTCCAGAAGAGCTGTGGCTGCTTCTGTAAGATGCTCAGTAACACTTACAGCCCGTTTCCTTATAAAACTGCACACACTGCACCTGAGATTACTATTTTTTTTTTTTAAAGCGAAGGATCATCACACCAAATATTGACTTTGTTTCATTTATTACTGTTTACTGCTCTTTATAGTATTTTTTTTTAACGTAGAAACATTTAGTTTCATTATTTTTGAAGGCGTCTTTGCTCTACAGCATTTCTTTGCATGTGCCTAAGACTTTTGCACAGTACTGTAGATCATATCCAGGGAACACTGTTTACAAGACAGGAATACATTCTGGATGGGACACAGCGCACCATGCACACACACACACACACACACACACACACACACACACACACACACACACAAACACAAACACCTTCACACACTCATTCGTACCTAGAGCCAATTTATCTTAGCCAGTCCACCTACTAGCATGTTTTTGGTGTAAGAAAACCCTTGGAGCTGTGAGGCGGCAATGCTAACTACTGCACCACCATGGCACCAAAAGTTTTTTTATGCTTGAAAAAGTCAGGACTAATAAATTAATAATAATTAAAATAATAATTTAGCAATGAATAAAAGCTAGAGGGAGGTAGTGACATCTGCATATCTGCACAAATGCTAAACATGAATTTCTAACATCCTGATAATGTTTTTTTTTTTATTATAAATATATTCTTTCTTTCTTCTTGTCTTTCCTTAATTCTGCAGATCAGGATCAGAGCGTAGGCTACAGGTGTGAAAATGAATCTCAGGGCAGTGATTCCTTGCGGTGGCACTGTGGTCTTCCCTCTTCCTCTCCCTCGGGTGAGACTCCAGCACGGATGCCATCTTGCCCTCTGTCTTACCTGGAGGGCCGCAGTCCGAATCTTGGCCTGGACAACGCCAAGAAGAGAATCTCAAAACCTACTCACATGCGGAGGAACATCAGGTCTGTTTACACTCTTTAAAAGAAACCTATCCCCAAAGATCGCTAATACCGGGTGGCAGATAGTCATGCTTATGTGCTGGATGGACCTCCACTGGCCACTAGCTTTGCCTTTTCATTACAAGGAACAGTTTGAAGGCCAGAATCTTCTTAATACGCCTGTTAGCCTGTTAGCCTGTTAGCAGTTGTTGACTTTATCATGGGAGTCACTTTGGTCAGCAGCAGCTAGATCACAGCACACAACAACTGATGATGAAGATGAGGAAGATGACTGGCTGATAAATAGGTTAGAACCAGGGCGGGATTTGAGAGGGATCGCCAAGGAATCCTCAAAAGAAAAAAAACAAAAAAAAAAAACACTATTCAACCTCTAAATCTGACATTCCCTTTGCTTTCACACCTTCGTCCTCTACCTTCATCGCTCATAACCCTGATTTCCCCTCAGGCATTATTAAAGTACATCCATCCATCCACCCTTCCATCAATCTGTCTGTCTATCTATCTATCTACACCGAAAAAAGGGAATATGTGGTCGGTCAGATTTAAGAGAATATATTATGTATAGTTTACATAAAAGTAAGTTTCTCATCAAAACAGGATTTCATTGCTTATTCTAAACTTAATTTAAATAAGTTCCTAATTACTTCGCCTGGTATTAATATAAACCTATTACGTTATGAAATTCTGCTAGGCTGTTGGCACTGACGGGAATTATATAAAGATAGTATTAAATTAACGCAATAAACATACACGTGGTCGAATACTGCAGAGGCAATGTGGCTGTTTCAGAATGTCAGCAACCTGGGTTTGAGCCTCAGTTTGGGTGAGAGTGTGACGTTTGAGTTTATTCATGGCTTGGAAAATACATGATCATATCAAGGTGGATATATGAAAACAAATTGTGTGCATGGAACTGATCCATACATTTGAATGAAGTAAATTCAGTGAGCATTTATCTATCTATCTATCTGTCTATCTATCTATCTATCAAACATTGAGTTATGGGAGTACTATGAGTACTATTACAGATTAAATATTAAACTATACTAAAGACTTGCTCTTCCCAAAAACTTTATGCCCAAGTCTCCCCTTTGTTTCAGTTGAGAGTCTAACCTGGATATTACAGATTTGTACCTAAGAAGCTGCAGCTGTAATGATAGAGTATGAAGCTCATACTGAACATCCTCTGAACACACTTAGTACTGTTTAACTTTATAGTGTTGAAGAAGAGTAATGATTTATAATTTATACAGTTTCACCCAGTGTTCCTCTCAAGGTTTCTTCCTGATGTCATCTCAAGGAGTTTTTCCTTGGAACTGTCACCTTTGACTTGCTCATTAGGGATCTAGATCTATATCCAGACTTCGGTAAATCTGCTTTGTGACGATGTCTATTGTTAAAAGCACTATATAGCTGAAATTGAATTGAATTGGATTCATTAGACTATTACATTAGCAATCCAAAGCTGGCTAAATAAC